ATAGCATCGTTTTTGCTAACTCTATCATCCTTTACTCATTTGCTAATTCCAATGATCCTGCGTTTTAGCCACAGGCGATTCTGCGACGATGTGTTGCTCAACCGAAGGTATGATCAGCGATAATATGGAGGAGTATAAGGCTCAGCTGACCTGCGACCATCTGAACAACTATGACGCAATGGTGATCCTGATGTTCAGGTGCCCAGAAACGAAATGCGTAAGTTGTCTTTTCAAATGCAAAGGACAGACCTGTGAAGGCACCAGTTTTAAGGCAGCGGCGAAGGACAATAATTTGGTAATAACGGTTCCAAGAGGTTACTTTTGCGAAAACTCGTTGAAGTGCGGCGAATTCAACCTTGAAACCATAAACCTTCAAGCATACTACAATTTGCCGCTCCCTGATGACATGATGAATTCCACCGGCCGATGTGCAACCAATCACCTGCCAGCGGATGAAGAACTACTCGGAATGAAGAGTTTGGAAGAAAGCAGCGAAAGCAACGAGGATGTCACTGTTGCCCCAGTGAAGAAGAATAAAAATTTATGAGATGTACTGCCTGAAAAAATATATACTACTCTGAAGTTGGCCATTTGACTTTGTTAAACATTTAGTAAAATAAAATATCTGCTTTTCACAACGATATAATCTTTCTAGAATATGAGGCAAATTTTGCAATTGTAACAACACTGAACTAACCGCCTACTCCCCGGACAGCCTTATTAGCAGTCGTTCAGTGGTGATTCCATAGCAAGGCAATCGTAGTGGAAGCAGGGAACAGCTCATGAACAGAAACTGCATTAGAACGATACTCTGTTCAGTCAAACAGCTAGGGGTTCCCGTATAAGAGAAATGGATTTTTCAAGATAACCCTTTACAGTACGTTATTTGAATTGCTCTTGAGGCGAAACTTACATGGGAAAAATCGCCTGAAACTTTGAACAGCTTTTGGAAACACGTGGTTTGCATACGCAGAGCAGAGTAAAGGTCACCGGTGCAAAGCATGAGGTCGTGAATAATTATGTCGTCAGTGAAAATGCGTTAAAATAATCTGAAATGAAAGGAAAATTTGAAAGGATACCTAAATTTCCCCAATGACTAACAAAGAGACAAAAATTAAAGAAAGCAGGAGCAGCAAGGAAAGTAGGTCAGTGAGCAATGGTCGAACAGTAGGTTAATACAAAATCTTATCTTGTGAGTGCGGTGCTAATTACATGGAAAAACGGTAATGAGCGAAAAGAAGAAGGGACATTTCAATAATAGTAATATACGTGAAAACGGACAGCGACAGATGGAATCCGTGTACGATAAAAAATGAATGCGAAAAAACTGTCGATGTTAAGCACGCGAAAATCGATACTCTGGGAAAAACGAAAATACTACACTGAAAGAAATTATTTAGGCATAAATGGCATGATTAATAAATATTTTGCTTCATAATACATCTTACCCTTAAGGCAGATCCAGCATCATCTAAAATGTTGACGAATAGGAATATAATAATTCCAACATTTTTTAACAATATCTGAGTTACATTCCGTGGAATTTTTAGAATTCTGAACAGGGAAACGGGAGAAAGTGAAAAATGAAGAAAGCGGTTGTAGCAGAACAAAATGAACAGGTTGGAAGAGACGTATGTCATTAACTCAGCTTAACAATTATCTTGTGTATTGTGCAGTTTTGCTCCTATTCTATCTTAAAATGAATTTGCCTTATGCAGCATGAGAAAATCTTCAACAAGAACCAGGAGCGGGGGCTGCAATACGGCTTTATATTCAAAGGTGGACTAGTGCATGAAGCTGACTCTTTCATGTAGATGGCTTGACACAAATAAACGCAGGATCTTTTCTGATCTTGCTCCGGATTGTAAATGGTTCCGTATTTCTCGACCGTTTTAACTAATTTTAGCTATAGGCACAGCAAGGATGTAAATTTATTTCAGTACATCATTTATTAAATTTTATTTCAAACCAGTTTTTCGATGTGCTTGAAACTTTTCCGAAGCCACACAATCTACTCTAATTTTTATTACAGGGTCTTCAAAAAATGATTTGCCTGCCTTAGAGTATGGAATTTTTACACATGGATTGTCTTGACCGGTTATAATTTATTTTATCTATAGGTTCACTAAAAATACGAATATTAAATCAATTAAATTACTTATTAAATTTAATTTAAAACAAGTTCATTGGTCTGCATGAAAGTTTTTCTAAGCCACACAATCTACTCTAATTCGTATTAGAAGGACTTGAAAAAAATGTGAGTTGCTTG